GGACGTCCACGCCCTATATGTCGATTTCAATGTAGCCTATGATTCTGTGGACAGGAGCTCTCTTTGGAAAATCATGACTGAACTGAGAATTCCCGGTAAGGTGAGATTTACAAAGGTGTGTACAAATGACTATAGAGTCCTAGATGTAATGTATAGTCCTAATACAAGTATCTGAAGCCTTCAAAGTTCGAACGGGCTTACGGCAGGGAGATGAACTATCACCGATGTTGTTCAGCTTACCTCTGGAGAAGGTAATTAGAGTTACAACATAGGAAAATGGAGGGGTCCACGTAGGAATGAATCATAAAGTCATTGGATACGCAGATTATGTAGCTGTCCTTGGAAGTAATCAAGAAGACATTGAAAAACTTGTTACAACACTGATAAGAGAGGCACAGCAGATCGGCCTACAAGTTAATGAAGCCAAACGAAATATATGATAATAAGCCGAAAAGTCCACCCCAATAACAAGATCTGCGTAGAATTAAAATCATTCCCGAGAGTAGAAAAATTTCTCGGCAATAACCTCAATGAATGACCAACGAGCAGAAATAGACGAGCGTATAACTACCGCAAACAGAGCTTTCTTCTCCCTCTTAAAGGCGTTGAAATCCCGAAAAATCTCAAGAAATCTCAAAGTAAGAGTGTACAATGCTATGATAAAGCCAATTCTAATATATCGCTATGAGACCTGGACGCTAATCAGCACCTTAGAAAAAATTGTTGAAAGATTTGAGAGGAATATCTTCCGTACGATAACCGGAGTGATCTGGGATGAGAGTACTAACACATCGGGAAGAAAGACAAATAAATAACTGCTTAAATAAACTGGTCAATCAATATCCCATGATATGAAGACACGGAGGTTAAGATGTGCGGGGCATGTACTCGTTTATGCATCTGGAAGTCGATACGTAACAATGAATGATCAATAGAAGGCAAAAGATCACGTGGAAGGCCAAAAAGCAGATGGATAGATAGAATCAACAAAGATGTAACAGAGTTGCATGCAGACAAATGGAAATAAATAGCCCATGACAGGCAGAGATTGAGCAGATTTGTTAAGGCGGCAAAAGATCGACATGGTTTGTAATACCAACAGAAAAAAAAAGTATGTATATTACGAATATTACTTTGGAAGAAAAAGAAAGAAACTAATAGTCTGTGGGCCAGACCCCCTTACCGTGCACCCCCCCCCACATCCCTATAAATTGCATATCGTTGTGTTCCTTGTAACAATTTATTAAAAAAAAGCCAATGTTCCCACAAAAAAAAGTGAACGCACTGCCCCAAAATGGCGTCCAAAGATGGCGGATTGACGACTTTGACTTTAGTTAGTTTTTTGGTCACTGAGAATCAGCATTAAGCTTAATTTCCTCATAGTTGGTCTTTTATTAAAGCTGAATAGTTATAGAATAATAAAACATGAAGAAATATTAAAAAATAATTGTCTAAGGCTATGAAAAACACCAGTAAAGTCAATTTTTTTAACAAAAAAATTTTCAAGTTACAAATCAAGCGTCGTTTGTAATTAAACGGCCTACAATAACGCAAAACGTGCTGAAATAAACCATCTGGAGAATATATTTCTCTTTCTGAAACGCTGATTATTTTTTACAAATGTTTAAGTAGTTCCGTAAAAAATGCACTTATGCGGCAGAAAAGCGGTACTGGCGTGGGTGCCTACAGGCCTCTACCACACCATTCAGTGCCCATAAATGGCTTAGTTATAGTGATATAATAACATTTTTGGTACATTATATTGGTTTTATTAACGAACAAATATTAATGCAATAATTTTATAGTAAAAAAAAAAAATTTAATTTAAAAAAAAATTTATTATAATTTTTTTAAATTTTAACCTCCTTTATTTTATACGTAGGTCGTTTAAGAATACCTCAATTGTAAAAATGATATAATTATAATAATAAAAGTTAATTAAAAAATATTTTGCTAAATATCTTGATTTTTTTTTATTTAACGTTTGCAATTTAACACTGTGTTTTGAATATTTACTGATTCTTAGAAGTAATTAAAATTTTTATATATTTCCCAGGAAATGAGTCATATTCATACCTTTTTTATAAACTAAAATAATATATACCTAATCTGAACTATATATAATGAATAGCTACCGGGTTGTTTAGTAAAACTCATATATCACTAATTAAAAAATTAATTTTTATTTCCTTTATTTTGTGCAGAAGTTGGACTATATCATAAATAAATAGGAAATTTTAATATTGAATGAATTATTCTCTATGCACAAAGAAAGATATAAAGGGTGACCCTATAAGTTCTTCTATAAACCAAAACTGATTGTTTGGATTTGATCTCAAAATGAGGAAAAACGTGAACTTAAACGAGAAAATTGGAAAAATACATTAAGCGAACGAGAAAGGAAGTGCCAAAACCTCGGAATAGATAAAAAGGACCAGTTATATCCATTATATAGCTAAATGAATGTATAGTAGATAGATGAACAGAATATTTCAAGATGCTGCTAAAACGGGATCAATTGCAGTTTGGATGATATTAAGTGGACGATGTAGGTTTATTATGGTGAAAACCACTTTATTTTCGATTGCTGAAGGTGCACCTCGGGACTATATTAACTTTGAAGATGAATATAGAGATGTATATCGAGAAAGTTATAGCTCATAGCTTTCCTTCTGTTTAGTGGATTTTCAAAAGATTTTTTAAGGGATCTAAAAGGAAAACGAGTTTTTCTGAAAGACAGTTAGATATTAGCATAATCCAAAGTGTGAGGCACTGAGCAGATAGAGAGCTATTTTTCTTTTTATGTGGACTTCTCTATAACCTGCCTTAAAGTGAAGACAGTCCCAATTTTCAACTTCTCTTCCAATGTGCAACTTGAGTTTCTCAATCCATATCGCTCTGGCAATCGACAATATTTCTTATTCCAGCTTCTACGATTCTTGTGTATAATTTGTTTGATACACTAAACAGGAATGGGTCTTGATGGGTATTACATTTCCTAGTATCTCCTTTCTTGTAAAGGTAAAAACCACAGTCCTTTCATATTATTTTCTAATATGCTTGTTGCCTATGTACGCGCAAAACTGTCAAAGCAGTTTGGTTTCGCCCTTTCCATCTTTCTTTGTGCAGAGAGAATAATACATTCAATATTAAAATTTCCTATTTTTTTATGATATGGTACAAATTCCGAACAATTCAAGAATAACGAGAAGAATAGCGAGCTACAACTAATATAAGATACCTTAAAAAATCTTTTGAAAATCCACTAAACAGAAGGAAAGCATGAGCTATAACTTTCTCGATATACATCTCTATATTCATCTTCAAAGTTAATATAGTCCCGAGGTGCACCTTCAGCAATCGAAAATAAAGTGGTTTTCACCATAATAAACCTACATCGTCCACTTAATATCATCCAAACTGCAATTGATCCCGTTTTAGCAGCATCTTGAAATATTCTGTTCATCTATCTACTATACATTCATTTAGCTATATAATGGATATAACTGGTCCTTTTTATCTATTCCGAGGTTTTGGCACTTCCTTTCTCGTTCGCTTAATGTATTTTTCCAATTTTCTCGTTTAAGTTCACGTTTTTCCTCATTTTGAGATCAAATCCAAACAATCAGTTTTGGTTTATAGAAGAACTTATAGGGTCACCCTTTATATCTTTCTTTGTGCATAGAGAATAATTCATTCAATATTAAAATTTCCTATTTATTTATGATATAGTCCAACTTCTGCACAAAATAAAGGAAATAAAAATTAATTTTTTAATTAGTGATATATGAGTTTTACTAAACAACCCGGTAGCTATTCATTATATATAGTTCAGATTAGGTATATATTATTTTAGTTTATAAAAAAGGTATGAATATGACTCATTTCCTGGGAAATATATAAAAATTTTAATTACTTCTAAGAATCAGTAAATATTCAAAACACAGTGTTAAATTGCAAACGTTAAATAAAAAAAAATCAAGATATTTAGCAAAATATTTTTTAATTAACTTTTATTATTATAATTATATCATTTTTACAATTGAGGTATTCTTAAACGACCTACGTATAAAATAAAGGAGGTTAAAATTTAAAAAAATTATAATAAATTTTTTTTTAAATTAAATTTTTTTTTTTTTACTATAAAATTATTGCATTAATATTTGTTCGTTAATAAAACCAATATAATGTACCAAAAATGTTATTATATCACTATAACTAAGCCATTTATGGGCACTGAATGGTGTGGTAGAGGCCTGTAGGCACCCACGCCAGTACCGCTTTTCTGCCGCATAAGTGCATTTTTTACGGAACTACTTAAACATTTGTAAAAAATAATCAGCGTTTCAGAAAGAGAAATATATTCTCCAGATGGTTTATTTCAGCACGTTTTGCGTTATTGTAGGCCGTTTAATTACAAACGACGCTTGATTTGTAACTTGAAAATTTTTTTGTTAAAAAAATTGACTTTACTGGTGTTTTTCATAGCCTTAGACAATTATTTTTTAATATTTCTTCATGTTTTATTATTCTATAACTATTCAGCTTTAATAAAAGACCAACTATGAGGAAATTAAGCTTAATGCTGATTCTCAGTGACCAAAAAACTAACTAAAGTCAAAGTCGTCAATCCGCCATCTTTGGACGCCATTTTGGGGCAGTGCGTTCACTTTTTTTTGTGGGAACATTGGCTTTTTTTTAATAAATTGTTACAAGGAACACAACGATATGCAATTTATAGGGATGTGGGGGGGGTGCACGGTAAGGGGGTCTGGCCCACCGTGTATAACTACTTATATGAAATGATCTTTAAGTGATTCTTGAAGTAGTATTGAATTTAGTTAGACCAACAGTACCACTTTCAGAAATAATTTTTTAAATATTCTTTTTATAAAACATGGTTGAATTTCACTATTTTGGGTGGCTTCAGCCCGAAAGCTACCCCCTCCCCATCGTAGTTCCGCCAGTGGTCCCGTGATTAACATATTCGATTCAAATCTTATTGGAATTTTCAAAAGCTAATATAGATCGGAAGTGAGGAAGAGCTGATATATTGCCAATGATGGATGAAGAGGGGAAAGTAAACTAATAAATATAATAGCATCTCGTGAAGCATTGTGACGGACACCAGAGGAAAGGATGGTCTTGGATTAATGACATTGACCTTTAATGAGATTTAGGATCGTTTTAAGCCTTTCTTTGAAACATAATTTGGTAAGGGAGATATCATAGTCAACTATCACAAATGAAAGAATTTCCAAACGATGTTACGTAGCTATATTCTTGACGATGGCTTTGCGTGTGTATGTGGGCGTTTCAATGTTAAATACAGCTCTAAATATAATTTAACAAAGAATAAAAATTCTGAATAAAAAATTACAAAAGTATTCAATAATACACTGTGACACATTGTTTTAATGCAAAGTAAATCTATTCCTCCAAGGGTAAATTTTTTTTTATTTGCTTCTTTCTCAGTTTTGCCATATTTCTTTTAAAATGACATTTAATTTATAGTACGGTTATATTTTAATGTTCTAATTCCTCTTCAATAGACAATTGTGACATACTAATATTTTTTTCATCAAAATTAAAATTTATTTGGTAAAGCAATTCGCTTAAGTCTTGTTTCTTTGGATCGTAAGTGTAAAACATGTCATATAGTAGCTTCTTTCTTAAATTTAACCAACCTTCCACACTCAATGTTTTGTTATCCGATGGGGGATTAGTAATGGCACTCAAGACTTGTTTTCCCTTCACAGTAATAAATGATTTTGAGTCACTTTCAGTTGATTTAACTGTGTAACTTTTGTCACTGCTAAGATCTGAGACTTTATCGGCCGAATGTTTATCTTTCTTTAACGTCAGCTGTAGGACATCTGGCAAAAAAATGTGGTCTTCTGAAGCGGAATGACGATCTGCAGCTGATTCTATAGAATCTTCATCTGAAGATTCAACCATTTCATCAATATTCCCCGTATAAGCTTCCAGGTGTAGTTTGATTTTGTATCCTCTTTTCGGAGGAATATAATTGGGTGGTTCATTTTCAGCGATATAGTTTTCTAAATGCTGTTTGGCAAATTCGCTTAGTCTAATTAATCTATTTTCCTCACTTGAGGATCCGACAGATGAAATGTCAAGCAAGAAAAGTTCTGATATTGTTGTATCAGGTGGAATCTCGTTTATTTTCTTCAGTTCTATTTCGTAAGAAGATAAAGAGATGTTATCTTCTAGAATTTTTTTTATTTTTTCTTGGTCTTCTTTAGTAATAATATCATCGGGGGCTTTCCTTTTTATCAGATCTGGATCGGTAGTTTGCACTGATTTATGAACAAGGCGATGTTCTCTGCCTGTTTTTACTATTATTACACCTGGGTACTTCTTAATGTAATCTAATGGATTTATTTCTAGCTCTTCTGTTTCGATTTCTATTTCGCCAAAGTTTTTGTCATATATTTCTTCATTACAATTATCTGGGAAATCTGTTCCTTGGCGAATTTTATTTTTATTTTTAAGTAATGATACCAATTTTCTTTTTAATGAGGTGACATCCATACGATTTTCTAGTCGTTGAAATTTCATTGATAAACCATCACTCTTTATTTTGGGAGTACTGTTTGCATTATATGTTTTACTTTCTAAATTTTCAACTTGTTCATCAACTTGTTCATCAACTTGTTCATCAATTTGTTCATCAATTTGTTCATCAACTTGTTCATCAACTATTGATAGCTTTTTTTCATATATTTCATATGTTTCAAAGTTATCATATATTTCATCTGCGAAATGAATTCTCTCTTTTATTGTTTGAGTATATTTCGAATCAGTTTGTTTATTTTCTGGACTAATATGTTTCTCGATTTCTTTTACTACTATTAGTAGTAACGCACGAGTTTCTTTTAATGGTTTACTATAAAATTCTTGCATAAGTGGCATTTTTTTCAAAACATTAGAAGTGCCCCTTTTCATTGATATCCGTTTCCTTTTTTCATCCCTCGAAAATGATAAGTGATCTTTATTCCAATCATACAATAATATTTCTTGAGATGAGTACGAATCAACTTCAGAAGATAATTCATTCAGAAGCCTTGTTCCACCCCAAGCGTTAAATTTCGCTTTTTTTACTACACAGCGGTCCACCGGGCATTGGCGATGAGTTCCAGTAAATTGTGCAAAAAAATGAGCTTTTTTACGCTTGATGTGTTCGGTAACCATGCTTATTTTTTTTCTTATATATTTTAAACTGTTTTTTTTCTCTTTTCTTTTTTTTCTCCTACTCTTTTTATTCCTACACATTTGAGGTGGTGTAGATTTACGAGGCGATGTTGTTTGAACCAATTCCGTCTGTGGAATCAATTCCGTCTGTGGAACCAATTCCGTCTGTGGAACCGATTCCGTCTGTGGAACTAAAGCAGGTTCATAGTTTTTCAGTTCCCCATCAATGCTCCATTCTGATAATTTTAAGATAGGATTTAAATCCTGGCGGGGTATTTCTTTTTTACATTCATTGTTTTCAACACTGGAACGTTCTCCAATTTTATTTGATTCTTTATGATTTGAAAATAACTTGTTAATAGTAGAAATGTCGATATAGTTATCTTTTCCTCTGCTAAACAACGTTACTAAAATATTATTGATAATTTTCTGAACATTTCTTGAATTAATAATTCGTTCTAATTGTGTGTTTACTTTATCTTCTTTTTTGACATATTCATATTTAGATATTTTTGACACCATAAACTCTATTTTGTCGGTATCTTTTCTGTTAGCATTTAATATATCATTTTCATATTTTTCCAAAACTTCAATTCGGCTATTTAACATAGATTGAAGACGCCGTTTTATGTAATTACGAATATTTGATTTTAATAACTTTTTTCTACGATGTTTGAGAATTTCACTATTAGTTTTACTATCCTTCGGGGTAATCTTATATAAACTCATTTCCTTTTCTTGGGCATCTTCAAGCCATATTTCAATATCTGTAGCAATATTGTATTCACCTCGGTCATATAGAGTACGATCTTGGTATCCGAAGAGTTCTTTTAATTGTTTAACATCTTTTTCAAATAAATACCCAGGATCCTGGAATAAATCAACTACGTAATAATCTTCTTCTACACGATGGTGCGGATAAAGAGGTACTTCCACCCATGTTAGTAGATTGCCCACCCTATATAGGTGGCAAGGAATCATAAAGTAATCCGCCAAAAATTTAAAAAGTATCGCCTTTTCGAGATGACCTCCGATTCGAAGCTCTCCAAGAGGTATAATTGTTGATTCAATTATTAACTAAAACAAAAATATATTATTATTTGATCAATAATTCCACTTATATTACTATTTTAAAAATATTAAGATTTATGAATTAATATAAATGTTATATACTATAAGACTACTTCATTAACAATAACAAATTGAAACGTAATGAATTATTGAAGGAAGTTAGTCGATTGTTTTACGTATCATGGGTGATAAATATTCAGGACGCAGTCATTATAAAATTTTTATTGGTGCCGACGTTTCAACCCAAACACGTGGGTCATCATCAGGCCTGAACATTTTTTATCTATAGTATAATATTATAATATTATCTGTCGTATGATATTATATCTCTGATTGTATTAAAAAAAATTCAGCCCTCATGATGACCCACATGTTTGGGTTGAAACGTCGGCACCAATAAAAACTTTATAATAACTGCGTCCTGAATATTTATCAGCCATGAAACGTAATGGTTTCAAAAAACAATGCAGTCATACATTCTTATGTTTTTCCTCAAATACCAATGAGACGAGGAAGCCTGACCTGTAATTTCTTGATATTTGTATATCATAGCTACATCATAGACACCAAAACGTAATTACTTATAAGCACATATAGTAAAATATGATACAAATATGAAATACATAATATAGGGTTATATTTATAGAAAGTTTTATCAGACATTATTCATCAATTAAAATAATGAGGATTATTGGAAAATGTCTCTATAGTAAGGTCACACTGTCATTAATGGTCAATTTTTTTTTTACATATAGGTCAGGGTCATGGTATCACAGTAGATACGAAGGTGGGCTTTTGTGGAGATGGGCCGAGAACTCGTAAATGAAGTCGGATTAACTTGATATTTAGTACACTTATGTTTTCAAGGCCAAGGAACACGAATATGGCGTCAAATTGGAAAATTTCTACGAATAAAAAAAAACCGGTTTTTTTGTTTAAACCTAGGAATTTTTAAATTTCACAATAATTTAACTTTGGAAATGATATAGACCTCCTAAAACGCATAATTTTAGATACCAATTTATAACTACTGTCTATATTACTACATATAACCGTTGTTTTAATATTATTTTTTTTTTTAAACACAATGAATCACAAAATATAATTATAATATATGAATGTGTAATAACTTAAAAAGTGTATCGTTTATTAATTATAAATAATCATTTTGTAATAGCTCTTATGAAATAATAAACATTTTATTTTATTTTAAGTACAAAAAATTTTAAAACCATCGTTAATAATATTTTGCACACCATCTTTTTCGTTAATTTTAAAGATTATATTAAAAATAACTGATGCAGATCAAGTAATAAAGGTTCAACTTAAATACTCTCAAATTCAATCTACCGTTATGAAATTAAAACGACATTTAAAAATAATAAGAGTTGGAGATTATATTTATATTTATATATTAAAATTATATTTTATTATTAACAGGCAGTATTTTTAGTGAAACAAGTAAATAAAATTTTTTTTTTCCTTGGCGCCGTCTTATACGGGTCCCCATTGACTCCACCTGTTATTTAATTTTAAACTTTAGTTCATTTATCGGTGTTGTGTTCATTTATTTAGATTATTCTGAAAATAAAAGATGGTTATATACAGTTAAAAGAATAATATAAAAGTTTATTTTTTATTTAGGTAGAAAAAATTAAAATTGATAGTATGTATTGATGTAGGAGATATTAGTACATACCTAGAAATTGTTCGAATATTTATACATACAATTCATAAATAATTTTAAATATATTTTAACTTCATTTAGGCGGACCATGGTGGTTTAAATAAACACGAATTTATCTTTAACTAAGACTGCTAAAAAGCAGAGTTGGGCATTTACTCGAGTAAATGTCGAGCAGTGACGTCACGAGTGATCACTCTTGGAAGCTGAGCCATGAGTAATTTTGAAAATTACTCGTGAAATATTTTTCCTTCATGAGTAAATCACTCGTGAAAAATGTTATCTCCATGAGTAAATTACTCATGAAAAATTTTAACGCCATGAGTAATTTTGAAAAAAAAAATGTTTTTATTTTATTTAACCTAATTTTTTTTTCACCTTTCCGATTTATTCGATATCGGGGTCGACGTATATGTTTTGGGGGGCGCTTTTTATGGAAATGTTATCCAATTTGAGATTGGGCCCCCCGGGCCTCGACTTTTTTTAACTTTTGGGATTAAATCGATATCAGGGTCGACTTATAGGTTTCGGGGGGCGCTTTTTATGAAAATGATATCCAATTTGAGATTGGGCCCCCCGGCCTCGACTTTTTTTAACTTTTGGGATTAAATCGATATCAGGGTCGACTTATAGGTTTCGGGGGGCGCTTTTTATGAAAATGATATCCAATTTGAGATTGGGCCCCCCGGCCCCGTTTTTTTTTAACTTTTGGGATTAAATCGATATCAGGGTCGACTTATAGGTTTCGGGGGGCGCTTTTTATGAAAATGATATCCAATTTGAGATTGGGCCCCCCGGGCCTCGACTTTTTTTAACTTTTGGGATTAAATCGATATCAGGGTCGACTTATAGGTTTCGGGGGGCGCTTTTTATGAAAATGATATCCAATTTGAGATTGGGCCCCCCGGCCTCGACTTTTTTTTAACTTTTGGGATTAAATCGATATCAGGGTCGACTTATAGGTTTGGGGGGCGCTTTTTATGAAAATGATATCCAATTTGAGATTGGACCCCCCGCCCCCGTTTTTTTTAACTTTTGGGATTAAATCGATATCAGGGTCGACTTATAGGTTTTGGGGGGCGCTTTTTATGAAAATGATATCCAATTTGAGATTGGGCCCCCCGGCCTCGACTTTTTTTTAACTTTTGGGATTAAATCGATATCAGGGTCGACTTATAGGTTTTGGGGGGCGCTTTTTATGAAAATGATATCCAATTTGAGATTGGGCCCCCCGGCCTCGACTTTTTTTAACTTTTGGGATTAAATCGATATCAGGGTCGACTTATAGGTTTTGGGGGGCGCTTTTTATGAAAATGATATCCAATTTGAGATTGGGCCCCCCGGCCTCGACTTTTTTTAACTTTTGGGATTAAATCGATATCAGGGTCGACTTATAGGTTTTGGGGGGCGCTTTTTATGAAAATGATATCCAATTTGAGATTGGACCCCCCGGCCCCGACTTTTTTTAACTTTTGGGATTAAATCGATATCAGGGTCGACTTATAGGTTTTGGGGGGCGCTTTTTATGAAAATGATATCCAATTTGAGATTGGGCCCCCCGGCCTCGACTTTTTTTTAACTTTTGGGATTAAATCGATATCAGGGTCGACTTATAGGTTTTGGGGGGCGCTTTTTATGAAAATGATATCCAATTTGAGATTGGGCCCCCCGGCCTCGACTTTTTTTTAACTTTTGGGATTAAATCGATATCAGGGTCGACTTATAGGTTTTGGGGGGCGCTTTTTATGAAAATGATATCCAATTTGAGATTGGGCCCCCCGGCCTCGACTTTTTTTAACTTTTGGGATTAAATCGATATCAGGGTCGACTTATAGGTTTTGGGGGGCGCTTTTTATGAAAATGATATCCAATTTGAGATTGGGCCCCCCGGCCTCGACTTTTTTTAACTTTTGGGATTAAATCGATATCAGGGTCGACTTATAGGTTTTGGGGGCGCTTTTTATGAAAATGATATCCAATTTGAGATTGGGCCCCCCGGCCTCGACTTTTTTTAACTTTTGGGATTAAATCGATATCAGGGTCGACTTATAGGTTTTGGGGGGCGCTTTTTATGAAAATGATATCCAATTTGAGATTGGGCCCCCCGGCCTCGACTTTTTTTAACTTTTGGGATTAAATCGATATCAGGGTCGACTTATAGGTTTTGGGGGGCGCTTTTTATGAAAATGATATCCAATTTGAGATTGGGCCCCCCGCCCCGTTTTTTTTTAACTTTTGGGATTAAATCGATATCAGGGTCGACTTATAGGTTTTGGGGGGCGCTTTTTATGAAAATGATATCCAATTTGAGATTGGGCCCCCCGCCTCCGTTTTTTTTTAACTTTTGGGATTAAATCGATATCAGGGTCGACTTATAGGTTTTGGGGGGCGCTTTTTATGAAAATGATATCCAATTTGAGATTGGGCCCCCCGGCCCTCGACTTTTTTTAACTTTTGGGATTAAATCGATATCAGGGTCGACTTATAGGTTTTGGGGGGCGCTTTTTATGAAAATGATATCCAATTTGAGATTGGGCCCCCCGTCCCCGTTTTTTTTAACTTTTGGGATTAAATCGATATCACGGTGGACTCTTATATTTTAAGGGGCGCTTTTTATGAAAATGACATCCGATTTAAGATTGGACCCCCGGGCCTCAACCTTTTTTTAATTTTTCGGAATAAATCGATATCAGGGTCGACTCTTATGTTTTGGGGGAAGCCCCAAAACTCTCAATCTCAAATCCGAAATGATTTTCATATAAAGCGCCCCCCAAAACATAAGATTCGACCCTGATATCGATTTAATCCCAAAAGTTAAAAAAAGTCGAGGCCCGGGGGCTCAATCTCAAATTGGATATCATTTTCATAAAAAGCGCCCCCCAAAACCTATAAGACGACCCTGATATCGATTTAATCCCAAAAATTAAAAAAAAGTCGAGGCCGGGGGGCCCAATCTCAAATTAGATATCATTTTCATAAAAAGCGCCCCCCAAAACCTATAATTCGACCCTGATATCGATTTAATCCCAAAAGTTAAAAAAAAGTCGAGGCCGGGGGGCCCAATCTCAAATTGGATATCATTTTCATAAAAAGCGCCCCCCAAAACCTATAAGTCGACCCTGATATCGATTTAATCCCAAAAGTTAAAAAAAAGTCGAGGCCGGGGGGCCCAATCTCAAATTGGATATCATTTTCATAAAAAGCGCCCCCCGAAACCTATAAGTCGACCCTGATATCGATTTAATCCCAAAAGTTAAAAAAAGTCGAGGCCCGGGGGGCCCAATCTCAAATTGGATATCATTTTCATAAAAAGCGCCCCCCA